CCGAAAAGAAATTGTTTTACCCAAGAAACTGACAGAAATCCTGGATTGCAAAGAATAATTTTTTTATTCCACATCATTTGTAGAATCTATAACGATATGGGAAATCCCTGAGTATCCAATCCCCAGTGTCTCCGAACCCACAGAGCTTCAGCCGCCCTGACCACAGTTCTACATCCATCCCTGAGTTTGCCCCTGAGTCCCTTCCAGTACATCAGTGAAGCAATATTTCTTAAAATATCATAACATTTTAATAATTACTGTATAAGTGTACCAAGTTTTGACTTGTGTAATAGCATATCTTCCTGTCCAACTTCCTGTCATTTTCCACCCACTCCTTACCCCTCATCATATCACACAAATGAACTGATTTGGTGCATTAATTGCTCCAAGTATTTTAAGCATATGGTGATTTTAATGAGCCAGGAGACATGTAGATCCTATCACCATTACATTGTGAGTTTGATGAAATAAAATAATGCAGACAAAAGTGATTACTAATTGAAGATGTCTGTTTAACAGGCCCAGTGTCATTTTTTTAAAGTAACAGCCATCAATCAGGACACAGCAACACACTTTGGAAGCATTTTATTTTGTCAAGTAAAAGCTCTGGTCTCATTGTATGGCCAGTTTTATTATATCTACTTTGACAGTCCCAATAAATATCTAGAATTTATTTCAACCTTTATATCACACAAGCCTCAAAACATACCTTAAATACATGCTGCTTTTATTTTCTCTGACTCTAATGTCGAAGCAAAGCACAGCCTTACTTTGACAGTGTTTAGTTTTGACAGAGGTCAGGAAAACAACTCCTGACATTTAATGCTCATGGACAAGATAAAGTCAGTGCTGTTTTTCTGTTTTGGCCCTCAGGGCAGTGTTTGCAAAGGGATCCCCTTCCTGTTCCTATTCTGCTCTGCAGGTAAAATCAGACCTGTCAGTTTCCTGTGCCACTGTGAGATGTCCACAGGCAGTGCGAGAGGGGTATTTGTAACAACTTATGGACAAAGGTGCGGGCAGCGTATGGCCTGTTGACATTAAAGATGTACTGCATGCTTCCTGTCACAGCTGAGTGCCTGCTGAAGGGTAACTTAAAGCAAGGACAAGCAATATAATTACCACTTTATCTAGCAATAAATTCCAGCATCTTCTGTTGGCTCTCAGGAGACCATGGCACTTTCACTTCATAACTGGCAGCTTGGATAAAATTATTATATCTCCAGTTCAGTGTGGGTAGTATTAGAAAAGCAACATCCTACACTGACAGCATCTTAATTACTACTATTAAAAGATGCTTTACAAATTATTTCAATGCCATGTCTAATATTTCTAAAGCTCAATCACTTGTAAACCGGTTAAATCAATTTTTTTCCCAAAACAAGAAGGTAAACAGACACAAAAAAAGGGGAAACTTTTTCAGCTTATTTCAGAAAGCTCTGTAATGGTTGGCTCCAGCTAGCCCTGAGAAAAGGATCTTTTTTATAGGCAGCACCACATCCTGATATTTCTATCTGGCCTGAAATCATTTGACATTTTCTGGCTTTAGAGGAAATGTGCAGTTGGATGCTAGATGGTTTACCTAGCTTTTCATGTGTGCAAAAAGGTTTCAGCCTTTTGTCAGAAGGCATGACTGGGGTGACATATGAGTGGTACCAAAACTGTCATCCAACACTGCAGGGACTTGGTTTCAGTTCCACTCCAAGGTTGTAGTGTTAACACTGTCAATGACAACGATGCTAATTTAACTATTACAACACTTATATTGGCGATAGCTCAACCAAAAGTAAAATCAGTGACTCACATCCCACAGAAATGAAAAACATGTTTTTAAAAAACATTGGATTTTCCTACGTCTTATGTTGTAATGATGAAAATCTGTCTGCCATCACAGAAAATACATCAACGTGGCAGAAGATTGAAAGGGAAGCTGGATTAGTCTTGACAGCTTATGTTTAATGTTGTAGCCTGTCCTGAGATTGGCATGATAAACACTCTAAAATGTGAAAGGACACACACACACACACACACACACACAGACCGCAAACTGCATCAACATAGCTGACAAAGGAGTTGCAACTACTCTTACAGGCACTGCCCCCAGTAGCATCCCAGTTCAAAGATAACATTTCAGGACAAATACTTGTTTCTTGTGCGGTGAGTTCTTAATGCTGTGTTAAACAAATACCTTTCCAATTTTATGAAAACATCAATTTTTCAGTTTATTGGATGCCCCATTAGCTTCCAACCAAGGAAGCCAGTCTTTCTGGGCTCCAGTTAAAACAAATTACAGAAAAACAACCATAAGCATCCCAGATTATTCAATCTATAGTGCGAAAGTAACAGTACACCTTAAAATATCTAACTTAAAAACATATAAACTATTAACACAATTAAGACAGTTGTTTCCTGGATTACAAATGGAAGCTGATTCCATGCAGACATACCTCTATAAAGAGCTGTTCTCTTATGATGACATGGATGATCAAATCTTCATTAGTTTCCATACATGTTGCATACCTGAGAGTAAAACCTGCATACACCAGCATATGAGAAGAAAGCTGTGGTGTATTTTTATAAACTGTACTGTGTTTTATAAACTGCACTGTACATAAATAGCAACAAGATAGATTTTAACTTCCACCATCCTCCATTACAACTGTCTGTGCATCTCACTCACTGAAAGGCCTGCAAAGGATCAACCTTGCTGCTCTATTCTGAGTAATTTGCAGTTTTCTTATCAGTTTGCCATCTGCACTTGACCAGACCACTGGGCACTATTCCAGATGTGAAAAAACTCATGACAGTATAACATTTTTCATAATAGAAAATGGACTGTAAGTAGAGCATCTTTCTAGCAGCAGCGATTCCTTTTCCCACTGTAGAAAAATATAATAAATATGATCTGACCAAGACAGTTAATTATCCAATTTAATACCCAGTAATGTGATCTTTGTGACTTGTTCAATTGGTTGCCCACCAATTAGCAAATTAAGTAGATCAGCTTTTGCAATTTCTACTATCAAAGGCTATACTTTTTGTTTTACCAATTTATTTGTCTCCACCCAATCTACTACATAATGCAGTACTCCGTTTAAGTTTCTTCTCACTTCGTTGAATGTAGGAGAGTCACAGAACACAGTAGAGTCATCAGCAAACATTACTACATCACCATCTTTAACTGCATAAGGCAAATCATTAATAAAAATGGACCCAAACAACTTCCTTGTGGAACTCCACAAGAAGTTTCCTTTTTCTCAGAGAAACTGCGATTAAAATATTCCCTGCCTGAAGCCTGAAGTTTGGGTTGTCTGATTTCAGTTTAAAGTTTAAAGGATTGGGAGAAATAAAATATACTGCCATTTTGGATATCTGGATTAAGAGTGCAGAAAACATGTGCTAGCAATCCAGCTATAATGTCAAACCAGGAAATAATCAACTGATCTTAAAATTACTCATAAGGAGGAGCTTTTTCTATAAAAAAAGGATTTCCACCATGTGCCTCTGTTTGCTCTGGGAAATCTAAATGCAGAATGATTCCTTTCAACAAAGGTTCCCATCTGAATGCATTAAGGAGAGGGGAGGAAAGAGAGTAAGCTGCCAGGTAAATTTCCTGCTTCCACTTAAATGGGGATTTCAGTGGCAGTAGCACATTTCACATAATGTTGGCTCTTGTCCAGAGTTGTCTTTTGTAAAGCTACCTGGCTGTGCAGCAGGACCTAGTCAATCCTCACAGGAGATGCTGTGGGTCTGAAGGACTCTTGGAGGCTTTTGTCTTGCTACACGTCTCTGTTCTCTGTGGCTGATATTCATGCAAATGGATTTCATAGCCCTGTCTCTCTTGTCTTTCTAAGCTGCATTGTTCAGAATGGAAATACAATGAGAACCAGGGGAATCTGCTCATACATTCTTCAGAGATCAGTGGCACTACACTGGTACCACTGAATGGACAAGAAGCATAAATGCACTTTATGCAGAGTTTACATAGTGTGAGGTCAAGATGAGATTCCAAGTTGGCACATGATATCTCTTTTTTGATTTACATACTGTATGTTTTAATAGGATTTCATCACGCCATTATATCGCTTTTACTTTTCCCTTGGCTGTCATTCTTCTTTTATTCTTTCCTACCATTCTGTGCTCTATGTGTCTCTTCAGTACACTGCTATTAGTGCAAAGCTGTAGATGTCTAAGAAAAAAAAATAGGAGGGTGATTTTATTCTGGTCACATGTTAAAGAGCTCTGTGTAATGATAGTGCCCATAAAAAGTAGCAAAAAGCAGTGTTGGCTAAATTGAATGAGGACATTGCTGTTCGTGTGCAAATACGCATTAAGTGTATTACATTCTGAGAAATGTAGTTTTGGTTTGCTCTCTTTGTAATGTAGAACTTGAGCTGAAGAATCTTTGTTTTAGTCCTACACCCAAACATGATTTTCACATCGTTTCAGTTGTATGTGGTAAAATCAAACTTCGTTTTGAATCTCTGGATCTCATCTCAGCCACAAGTGGAATTCAAGTTCAGGTTTATTGTCATGTCGAGGTGTGCACACATTTTTTTTTTTTTTAATTGTATTAATTGGTTAATTTAAAAAATATGAATAATTAAATCTACAGTATATGTTTAGTAAATTAGATTATATATGTCTTCATATGATAAAAAAAATACAACCAAATTACTTTTTATTTATTTGTCTAGATAAATTTGACACAGAACAATCATTCATCTGAATTTGTGGGCTCCAAAAACTTGAACTAGAAAAACTGAAACCGCATAAAGTCAGACAAACGGTTTTCAAAATAAGATATTTATGTGCTATAAGCAAAGGGCAGATATTTGACTGTTTCACGTGACCTTTACATTATACATATTTACCATATGTATTTAAGATAAAGTACACTGACTGGAGAAGACTAGTCAGATACATAATGGTGGTATCTGGAACCCCCCCTTGCCCGACGCACCAATTGTACACACACATTACCCAATCTTCATAGGCATTACCCAATCTTCCTAGGCATGTTGAGTCAAGTCATCTGTATTATTATTATATCACTGTTCCAGAAAATGTGTTTCACAACATGTGCATTATGAGAACAATGTACCAGGTGTCATTATGTCATCATACACTTATGACAAATGATGAATAACATGTTGCTATTACCAAAGCAGGTCTTACTTACTTTATATAGTTTGGCATATTGAAACCTCCTATATCTGTTTTGTTTAAACAGTGTTATTATAAATACGTTCAGGAAAAATACAATTGTAAATCTATTTACTAAGATTTTTTTTAATCTTCCAATGCATCGAACTGGTGTATGCAGCAAATGTAATTTTATATAAATTCTTACAGGTCTATGGAGCACAGACCCTGAGTAAAAAGAGTTTTCCATATGAGAGAAATTATGCTCCCATGAGCTCCTGGCATTTCTGTGTAAATGCCCCTGAAATTATGTTTATGCCATTTCGGCTTTAACAGTTGGCAGTGTCAACAAACTGTTAGGATGGAAGAGAGGTGATGTGCAAATGCTGATTATTTCCTGTAACATCACTGGGTGTAACAACTATTCCTAAATAGTTGTTCTGCGTAGCCTATCCCAAATTTTTATAGGTAAACATGCAACATAATATGAAATGAGAATAGCAATATGTTTGAAGCCTGCTTTATGTTTGAAGCCTGCTTAATAGTAAAGATGTCGCACCCTAGAAGTAGGGATGTGCTGCCCCCTATCAGTAGTGACATGCCCCGCCTGTCAGCGTCTCCAGGCAGTGTAGAGGAGCTGGGGTCTGGAGGAGCACCAGCAGGCAGCACAGAGCTCAGCGCTCCCGCGTTCGTCCAACCCTTGCTAGAGCTGCTCCCCAGGCAGTGGAGGTGATGATGGCGGCGGCTGTAGAGCGAGGTGGTGTCAACAAACTGTTAGGATGGAAGAGAGGTGATGTGCAAATTATTTCCTGTAACATCACTGGGTGTAACAACTATTCCTAAATAGTTCCTTTGCGTAGCCTATCCCAAATTTTTATAGGTAAACATGCAACATAATATGAAATGAGAATAGCAATGTTTGAAGCCTGCTTAATAGTAAAGATGTCCCACCCTAGAAGTAGGGATGTGCTGCCCCCTATCAGTAGTGACATGCCCCGCCTGTCAGCATCTCCAGGCAGTGTAGAGGAGCTGGGGTCTGGAGGAGCACCAGCAGGCAGCACAGAGCTCAGCGCTCCCGCGTTCGTCCAACCCTTGCTAGAGCTGCTCCCCAGGCAGTGGAGGTGATGATGGCGGCGGCTGTAGAGCGAGGTGGTGTCCGGGCCGCTTTCCTGAACCCGAGCAGCGGTGGCGGTGGTGGACCAGCACCGACAACCCTCCCGACCGGACCGTTAACCGGAGCTGTGGTCCTGAGCTCGGGCTCGGGCTCCGGGAGCATGCCTGTACCCATGAACCTCTTTGCGACCTGGGAGATAGACCGATCATCGCCAAGCTGCGTGCCGAGGTAACATTGTTGTGTCAGCACAAACCACAGTGTTTACAAATCACCACATCGTTTAATAAATATTAGGCTGACATTAGACAAACAACGCCCTGGTTGTGCTGTAACGTTCTGCAAGCGAGACGAGCTGCCACACATTTCCAAAACAGTGTTGGGCTGAGCTAGCAAGCTAGCTAGCAAGGTGGCTAATGCTACAGCTACATAGCCACTACAGGTTCGAGTTAGTTCCTTTCATGTTTTGTGCTAAGAGCATTTAAACGTTATCTTTCTTAATGAAAATGCAGTCGTCTAAATGGCAAAGGCTAAATTGTCAAGTTGTCTGGTTTCTAAGTGTGTTATCAGTCGGCGTGTTCAGTTTTATTCCGAACATTATAATTGCCTAACAAAAGTTCAGCCATAACCGCTTTATCAGTCAAAAGGGTTGATGCTACATATTTTCTGATTTGTGGCTTCGTTGTTTGAAGCTTTGCAGATATTGCATTTTGCACTGTAGGTGTAGGCCTGTGCTTGAACAGATTTGCAGAATGCATGCCATCAAATAGGAACATAACTCTTTATAAATATGGATGCCATTCGTCTCATAAGTAGCATAACCCACATCTTTTTCATCCTTTAATAAGACTGTGTCCTGAGATGTCCGAACAAATTGGCAGTTTGCACCTAGCTGGCCATTTATGAAGTTCACATAATTTTCACCCGTTGTTTTATGTTTATGTTCATATACCCGCGTGTAGCTCAGCGTTGGCTCACTGGTCACCTACAGCCATAACAAACACAACAGCTGACTTAAGAAGAGAGTCAACTGTTTTGATTGTCACTCTTGTGTTGGGAAATTTACTCTGTTACCCGCATTGTCTTGATGCTATTCTGATGACACCATTTAATATCGAGTAATGTTCAGTAAGACTCTGCATTAGTATTCATCGTCAGCAAGCAGGCATTGCTGCCACCTGACCAGAAACCTCTGGGGAGCTGTGGGCACATTAATCAGCTTTGACCTAGATCTGTTCCACTCACTGAGAGAGAAGCAGGCTTGAAGGGGGAGGGTTTCCTCCACACTCGATGAGCATGTGTGTGTTTTCCTGCTGCTTCTTTAGTGCCTGTATGACTCTGCATGTGTGAATGGACTCAAAACATGTGGAAAACATGGATAATTGACAGTAATGGTGAACTTTCAAATCTTTCAACATTATTTTGGTTTGTGGCAACACGGCTCACACCTCTCAAATAGATTCAACAGATTATTGTAAAAGCAACCGCATTTGTTGTTTTCTAACCTAAGAATTTGAGTGAGTGAGTTTCTGATGTTTCCATTAAGTTTTAAGACTTCTGGCTAGCAGTACAAGTAGCTGATGCATCAGTGCATTAACAGAGCATGACATATTGATTTTCCATGACTGCCTCTAAACTATCTTCTTTGTCACTACAGAGGATGAAATACAACATGCTGTATTAAAGATGAATAAGGGTGAGCGTGAAGTAGAATATTAATGAGGTATAGTGTAAAGGTTTACCGGTCATTGCACAGCATAAGACTGCGGTAGCTGCTTGATTCGATTCTTTGTTGACACCTAGGGTAATTTGTTAGATGTAATATATAATGGATGAGTAGAAGTTATCTTAGACAGTGATGTATGATGCAGTTGCTTATTCGGGCTTGGAGTTACAGTGCTTACAGTATTTACATCAAGTAACTATTACTGTCTTATGTGTTTTTATATTACATATAAAGTTCTTGCATGGAGCCCAACCCAGATCAGTTCAGGGGATTCTGTTTTGGCTTTGTTTCAGGGCCTGAGACAGTTTGTGTGCAGCTGTTTTCTTCTCCACTAGCCTGTATCAGATGTGGGTTTCTAATTAAATGGCACAGTTTCAAATGGGGGTATGGGGCTGTTAGCAGTTATTCTTAATGTGGTGCTCCTAAACATCCCATACAGCTGTTTGTTAATAATTTCAAGATGCAGAATTTTTAAAATTGATCTTCCCAAGCTTGCAGTCCTACCAAGAGCTTTGAGGAGGAAACAGTGAAAAAATATGGACGGGTCATAAAGGAAAGGAGAAGCCAGCATAAAGTGTCTTTTAGTAAGATGCTGAGCCACCATGTGCCACCAGAGCAGTGTCAGTGCTGCTTGGCATCGACTCTCCAAGTCTCTTGACCATACTGAAGGGATGAACACCATTCTTTCAAAAGATATTCCCTCACTTTGTGTTTTGATGATGGTGGTGGAAATGCTTTCAGTCCAAATTCTCCCATAAGTGTTCAGCTGGGTTGAGATCTGGTGACTGTGAAGGATACAGCATGTGAGTCATATTATTTTCATATCAAACCCCCCGTGCCCTATGAATGAGGACATTGTCATTCTGTAAGAGACCACTCATTTACTCAGGTTTTTCCTTTGATTTGTCATCCATTCGCACATTGTCACCAACCTGTGATTGTGGCACTGGGCCACTAAAGGAATTCCTTACAAAGTAGGACATTTTCAAATGTTTTTTCCCTTTCTTCTCTATGTGCCTCTTCACTATTACATAGGATCAAGCAAAATTTTGACAAGGAGCCATTTACCCTTGCACTATTAATTTGTTCTCTAAATGCAGCCATAAACCTTTGTGCTGTGTGAGACACAGTATTTTGGTTCTACCTGCCAAACAAGTGTTGTGGCAACTCCCTCCTTAACAGGCTTGTTGGAACAGTTGGACGAGCATTGTTTTTATTCCAGCACTGCCATGCCTACCAGTCTGCCACCCTCTGTTTCTCATACTATGTGGTATTGCTACTGCAGCTGACTTTTTATAAGGGGAGTTTTTTTATGTCTTCTAAAGTAACAAAAATCCTCTAGAGTGTTCTTGCAGCAAATAGTCTCTACCTTTTCCCCATATTGCCCTCCAAAATGGCTGACCAATGCTTTGGTGATGTTGCTGAGTAACCAAAAATAGCTGAGGGGGTAACATGCACAGGGGGACTCCTGAAATGCACTTCAGTACTGCTTACAGGATTAATTCAATGACTTCTTCTGGATGCACTGCTGCGGTCACCTTGAATGTGAGGAGAGTGCCACTCTACCTGGGTGTGGTACAGTAAATGTTGTTGAAAAGAAATATGCCAGTAGGTTTTATCCAGGCTTAGTGCCATATTGATGATCTAGATTGTTTAAATGCTTTGGTGGCCTAATTTGCCTTCTGTCAACTTGTTTTGACTTTGAAACAGATTTCAGTGAAATACAAGAATATGTAACTTGATTTCTGAAACCTTGTACCTTCATTACACCTGGCTTTATTTTTACAGGCATTATTCTCCTTTCATGGCAGACATGGGAATAACATGCTTGAGGGTTGTACACATGATTGCATTGCAAGAGAGTTTTGGCAAAGCTGTCTTTTTTGTCAACAGACAAGGAGAGTTACTAAGCAGTGGCCTGCTCGGGATTCTGTCTGGCCCGTCTATATCTAACGCAAGGCAGGTGTTTGTTGAGGGAACAATGTGGTATTTGCAGGAGCGACGCTAATGCAGAGGCCCGTATGGTGCTATGTTTATCTGCTAACAATAAAAAAAAAAAATCTTTGGCAGCATCAGAGGGTTGGCTTTTTACCAAGTTCAAAGATTTTTTTAATTAAGTTGTGACTTTTACCCACATAATCACTAACAGGATTGGAGCAACCAATCACTTTGGTCATGCTTGCCATATGAGCTCTCCAAGCTTCATTCTTTCCAAAATGGTAGGAAAGTGTTTATGATGGCCATCTGTTACCAATTTACAGGCTTTCAAAATAAATACTACAGTTTTAATTTGGGTCACTGAACAAAAAAATGTTTTCAAGATCTGAAGATATTGTGTGTGTGTGTGTTCATGATATTTTTACTAGAAGCATATATCCTTTTAAGCTCCACCATCTGAGTTCAGAGAGGATGAAGATATCTTAAAGGTGTGCCCGTTAGCTACAAAACAGCATCTTTCCTCTTTTCCACTGACATTTATCTTGGCTGAGCAGAGCATCCTTCTCTCTGGCTCATTGATTCATGTGAGTCTCAAGATGAACGTATTCTCTCCTGAGTAGCAGAGCATTATTTCAATCGTGATAGCTTTGCAAGCTCTGGTCAGATATTTGTTTCTTCTGCCCCAGTCCTAGTAGTGTATCAAACTGATGTGTGTTGTGTGTCAGCTTCACCTTTTCACCTCCTCATTTAACCTCCCCATCTTAAGGCTTGGATATTGATACTGATAGCACGGAAGCTGCAGTAATCTGATTTCCTAACAGGGAAAGAAGAGCTAGTAATCTGATGCCTCATGCAGACACCATCCGCTTTAACTCCCACTTCTTTTTGGAATCATAAATAAGGTCCATCCATTACCCTCTCAGCCACCTCCAGTGCCCTTCAGGATTGTGACACAGTGCTCCACATCACTCTACGCCATGTTTACAACACTCCTGTTATCACAACTGATGTACTGATACAGAAACAGCAGAATTATTATGAAGTCAAATAGCTGCGCTGTCTCCAGGGCCTTGCCACATTTTGATTATACTCTTCTTCTCTTGTTTACTTCATGGCACACTTTTAAGTTGAATTGCATTTTTTTGCTGAATGGTTCTGGGAGTATGATGAAGGTATTGTTCCAGTATTTGGCACATGCAAAGTCAAGAAATAATGAACAGTTTTAAATGCTGTTGATGAAATAAGCTCTTACATTGAAGAATTATTAAGCTACCTGACATTGTATTATTGCATCCTAGCCATACTAGAATAGTAACATTTGACTTAAGTGACTGCTACTAGAAAGGCATGGTGCTGGGCGGATTTAAAGTGTTTGGCCCAGGGAGGGGGGCTTAAGTGTGGGTACACATGTTCGAGCGGTGCGCTGGGTTCCTGGAGGTGAATTCCATGGGGGAATGGCTGGTTAAATTTGCCCGACTATAGAGCTCTGTTCCCGGTGGTGTGAATCAGAGGGACCATATGTCACTGATAGGCAGCTGTATTTCTGAAGCACCTAGAAGATGAAAGT